AATCTCGTGGGAAAATATTTTTTATTAGCATAGAGTCCTTATTATTTTAGCAAATAATGAAGGGCCTCCCTGGTGGCACAAGGGATTAAGCACTGCATTATAAAGCAATCCACAGCCTCTGCAGCATGAATTCGATCCCCGGTTGGCCAGGGAGAAACCCACATGGCGCAGCAGACCTCTCCTATCTTGCCCGCTGCTCTCCGCAGCAGTGTATTTCACTCAGTCTACCTGTTCTGTTCCCCACTCTGTCTCTGGTGAGTCATCTCACCCCCCACATCTCTGGCTTGTACCCCAGTTCTTGTATGCATAAATAAATAAATTAAAAAAAAAAGAAAATAATGAAGCAAGTCCCTATTTTGATAGGAAAGTAGCAAATCAGAAATGTACCATTAGCACTTATCCTCCAGATGAAAGGAGTTCAGGAGCCCTTGCAAGTTGGTGCCATGTGACCCAGCCCAGATTTTCAGCTTTACAAGTGGTTTTTGTACTCACAGTGTGGGTACAGTATGGGTGCTGTCTGTCTCAGATTCACACACCCAAGTGCTGCCTGTATGGGTGTTGAAAAAGCAGCAGAGTAATCAGGGAAAAAGATATTCAAATACAAGCATTAGTATGAGAAATGTTATAGGGTTAAAAAATATATATGCACTTGACAAAGAATTTCCTTATCTCACTAATCTTACTGAGATAAGGAAATAATAAATAGGTATTAAAATTTTAAATGGTTTTTATCTTAATGTGATGATTATATGATTTTCTCCTATTTTCAGTTAATGTGGCCAAGTATATTAATTAAATTTTGTTTTTTAAAAAGATTTATTTGTTTATTTATTATGCATAGAAGAACTGGGATGTAGGCCAGATGTGCGGGGTGTGAGAGGATTCACCAGAGACAGAGTGAGGCGCAGAACAGGAAGATCTACTGAAATACACTGCTGAGGGGAGCAGCAGGCAAGACAGGAGAGGTCTGTTGTACCATGTGGGTTAGCATCCTGGCTGGGGATTGAACTTGTGCTCCAGTGGCTGTGGAGAGCTTCACAGTGCTGAGACTTACCCTCTATGCCGCCAGGGAGGCCCCCTTAATTAAATTTTGAATAGTAAACTATGCTTTCATTCTTGGACTAAACCCCAGATGGCCATAGTTTATTATTATTTTTTATATATTTCTTGTCTGGAGTTGTTACTACGTTGTTTTAAATTTCTCTCTGTGTTCATATTTACATGTTTTCTTTAAGCTATCATCAATTTTATTTTAAAGGTGTCTCTTTTTAATAAAGTTGCAGGGTACAAAACCAGAATGCAAAAACTAGTAGTGTTTCCATACATTAACAACGAATTACATGAAAAAGAAACACAGGAGACAACTCCATTTACAATAGTATCAAAAAATAGTAAAATATTTAGTAATAAATTTAACCAAGGGAGTGAAAGAGCTATACACTAAATACTATAACACTGATGAAAGAATCTGAACTAAAACATTGATTAAAGAATTTGAAAAAGACACAAGTAAATAGAAAGATTTCTTATGCTCATGGATTAGATGTATTAATATTGTTAAAATGTCCATACCACCAACCAAAAGCCATCTATAGATTGAATGCAATCTTCATCAATAGCCCAATGGCAAGTATTTTTACAGAAATAGAAAAAAAAATCCTTAAATTTGTTTGGAACCACAAATGATCTTGAATATACAAAACAATCCCGGGAAAGAAGAACAAAGTCAAAGGTATAACAGTTCCTGATTTTAAACTATTTTACATAATTATAGTAATCAAAACAGCCTGGTACTGGCATGAGAACAGGTACATAGACCAATGGAACAGAATCAAGAGCACAGAAATAAACTCATGAATGTACAGACAACAAATTTTGACAAGAGAGTCAAGAATACTCAACAGAGAAATATAGTCTCTTGCATAAATGGTACTGGGATACCATTTACGTGTATAGTAACATGCAAAAGAATGATACTAGATCTCTATCTTATATCACTCACAAGAATTATGCTTCATGAGATTATAAATGTATTTAGGTTTATATATGCCATCATACTATTTGTTTCTATTTAACCTTTTATAGTCTCTTTATCCCTTTTAAAATTTCTTTTGAGTAATTAAGTATTTTATTAGTTATTCCATGTTTTCCTCCTTTCTAAAGATTTTCTCTATCTTCAACCTTCAGTAATTTCACTATAATGAAGCCAAAGTATGGTTTTTTTGTACTTATCCTGCTTGGAATTGTTGAACTTCTTGGTCTCTGGATAGTTATCTAATATTTGGAAAATTAGTGTGGCCATTTTCTCAAAATTGTTTCTACACAATTTTCTTCTCTTTTCTTTGATTTCAATTACATAAATACTATTCTGATTTATTCTTTTAAATACTATTTTGATTTATTCTTTTTTTTTTCTGTGTATTTCAGTTGGGATGTTGTTGGTTAATCCATTTCTAATCGAGTTCTGTTATGGTGAAACAGTTGCTAACCTATTTATTCTTATTTTCAGATATTTATTTTTCCATAAAAAAAAACTTTTCAGGGTCTCCCTTGTGGAACAGGCAGTTGAGTGCTGCAATGTGAAACTGTCCGCAGCCTCTGCAGCATGGGTTCCATCCTGGCCGGCCGGCGAGAATCCCACATGGCGAAGCAGACCTCTCCTGTCTCTCCCACTGCTCCCCTCAGCGGTGTATTTCGTCAATCTTCCTGTTCTGTTCCCCACTCTGTCTCTGGTGAATCTTCTCACCCTCCTGCGCATCTGGCCTGTACCCCGGTTCTTGTATAAAAATAAATAAATCTTAAAAAAAAACCAACCTTTTTATTTTTATAAATTCTAATTCTCTGGCAAAATTCTTAATCTTTTCATTTTTGCTTTTTAGAAATATATGGTTACTAATGTTGAATCATGTATGTGCGTATATATATATTATATATATGTAAAATATCTACTTAATCTGTTTGCCTATTCTTGGAAAAATCATTTTTATTGAATTGTCTTACTGAGTTCTTTATATGTTCTGAATACAAATCTTTTGTCAGGTATACGATTCACAAATACCTTCTCCCAATGTCTTTTAATTTTCTTTTTTTTTTTTTTAAATCTTTCTGACTTTTTTTTTAAAGATAGATTTATTTATTTATACAAGCACTGGGTACAGTCAGAAGCACGGGAGGGTGAGAGAATTCACCAGAGCCAGAGCGGGGAGCAGAACAGGCAGAAGGGCCGAAGTACACTGCTGAGGGGAGCAGCGGGCATGGCAGGAGAGGTCTGCGCACCATGTGGGACCCTCCTCCAGTGGCTGGGGAGCAGCCAGAGGATCGAACTGGTGTTGCAGAGGCTGTGGGCAGCTTTGCAACCCAGCGCTCAACCACTGTGCCACCAGGGAGGCCCTCTTTTAATTTTCTTAATGCTGTCTTTTAAAGAATTTTTTTTTATTTTGATTGACTGTTTTTTATTGATCTTGCTTTTAGTATCATATCTAATAAATGTTTATCTAACCCCCCCAAAATATATTTTCTATATTAATCATGGTTATCTGAAAGTTTTTGTCTAACTTTAGCTGTGGGTCTATATATACATTTACATATATTAGTACAAATACAGTGGCAAGGGGGGCATTCTTGCCTTGTTCCTTTCTAATCATTAAACATGATAAAGGCTTTTAGAGGACATAGATATGTTTTATCATGTTGAAAGGTACCTATCCATTTTAACAAATATTTTTTCATCATATGTAAAAAGACATGTTTTTTTCTCTCCTGGTCTACTAGTATGGTGAGTTATATTATTAAATTTCCTAATACTGAGCCATTCTTATATTACTGGAAAAAAATCACAATGGGTGATATGATACCATTCTTTAATATATTGCTGGATTTTTGCCTAATATTTTATTTATAATTTTGCATTAGTATTTAAAAATGATATTAATCTTTAACAATAAATTTTTTTTTAATTTATTTTTCCTGTGTTATATTTGACAGGTTTTGGCATCAATATTTTGAGTTTCAGAAAATAAATATGTCTCACTTTCTCCCCATCTTCTATAATAAATTTTAATAAACCAGTTATGTTTCTTTAGCTTTTTTTTTTAGATTTATTTATTTATTTATATAAGCACTGGGTACAGTGGGAAGAGCGGGAAGGTGAGAGAATTCACCAGAGCTAGAGCGGGGAACAGAACAGGCAGACTGATGAAGTACATTGCTAAGGGGAGCAGCGGGCGTGGCAGGAGAGGTCTGCGCGCCATGTGGGACCCTTGCCCGGTGCCCAGGGATCAAACCGGAGGTGCAGAGGCTCGGGCAGCTTTGCAGGCCAGCGCTCAACCGCTGCGCCACTGGGGAGGCCCTGTTTCTTAAACTTTTTTTAAAACATGGAGTACTAATAGAAATGTGAAGGCAAACTCAAATGCACCTTGATGGGAGCTAAAGGAAGCACTGTAGACATAATGCATGAGGAGTTCAATGTATATGGGCTGGATGTGATCCATAGGCTGCCAACATGTAACCCTACATAATAAAGAAGGGATCACCCCATCTCTTAATCCATGCTTAGCATGTTGTCATGCGGCATTGTGGTTAATAGCATGGCCCTGAAATGACAAGTTCTCCAACTCTGTGACCCTTCTCTGAGTTACTGTAACCCATTTTATACAATGAGAATAAGAATAGTAAAACTTACTTTGAAAGATTTTTCATTAGGATTAAATGAGATAATATATGCAAATCCCCTCACAAGGACTATTTGGAGATATGTTAAATTTTGCTCATTTTTGTAATTGTGATTATTAATTTTTTCCCAAATGGGAACATTTTCTTTGTGATTATAAAGGAAATGCATCTTTACTGCAAAACTGCAGCAAAAAAATAACCTTATTGTATATAAGCAGTATATATAATTCTATATACAGTATTATAGCCTGAATTTATCACAGTAAAACATATTGTGGGCATCATTTCATATAGATAGAGTAACTAACATGATTAGAGGAATCCTTTACCTTCCTGTTACCATGAGTTCCTTTTCAGAAGCCGTAGGACGTATCTGCGTATAGAGGTCCAATGTGAAAAGGGTGGAGGCACAGTTGAAATTAGAAGTCAAGGAGGATATAAGAGAGGCCCATAGCGCAGACAACATCACACCTAGTATACCTGGAAGAGAAGGGACATTTCCTCTGGCTCTCGAGACTTGCCAGGAGATGCCTTTAGCTTCTGAAGGAACTGTCCCACAAACTAAATTTTCCCCTATAAAACATTAATATTTAAGTTGCAGTTCAATTCCATCTAAGACAAATTAATGCATTGCATTGTCCTTGCTTGGTGATGAGACTTACTAGGTTCCTACTGTATCTTTATGTAATAATGGGAGTGGTTATTTTCTGCCAGAACATCTCTTGAGGCATCACTTTGCATGATTCTCCCTAAAGCCCTATGAAATGGACACCACTGTGGTCCCCCTTTAACAGATGAGGAGCCAGAGGCTCAGAGAAGGTTCAGATGGTAGGAAAGTGATAAGCTCCTTGTACCTCAGTGTCCTCACCTGTAAAATGGATGGAAAAGAACTCCAACATAGGGTTGTTAAGATGAACATAAACTAAATAGGTGGGTTTTAAAATGCTTATTTGCATTCTCCAAATGTTATCTATAAATATAAAATTTAGTATTATTATCTTAAAAGGTTACCATGCTCATTGGACATTTCTATGTGTTGTCGGGAAAGCCTGAGGGTAACTGGCCCTGAACTGTAATCAATGTAGTCAGTCCAAGAAAAGACTAGAGTCCTGGAATTTGTCTTCCATCAGGTTCTGCAGCCTACTGTCACAGCCCTGGGTGCTCTCAGAGCGGCTCGGCTGGGGAAATCCAGACAACTTTCTTTCTGATCTATGGAATGGTCAGCATTTCTCTCCATCGGATTCCATTTGTATCATACTTGATTGAAATATTTCAACTTTTCCAGGCTATTGATCCAGTACTAATATGGAATTTTCTTTTAAATTGGACTCTGCATGTGGTGCATAGTAGATGGGAAGCAGGTGAGATGAACGCACAGGCTCACAGTCATCTCACAATGAAAGTCACCTCCCTGGTGGTGACCTTGCCTGTTCCACTGAAGGTAAGTTCTTTGAGAGCAGGACCAGGTCATGCTCATTTCTGTATGAGATGAGATGGTTTAGAACACTGCCTACCACAGTGTGGAGTCAATCTGCAGAATGAATGAGCAAAGGTGTGATTTAAGCAGGGGCAGTGAACAATGCAAATCATATGCATGGTACACTCTGAGTGTGTAAGGAATGAAGAGGGGGGAGAACCAGCTCCTTCACTCAGGACAAACAATATTCCTTCTCCATGCTCCCATTCCACAGCCTGTTATTTCCATATAGATCAATGGGCTGCCTGCTAGATAAACCAACTCCAGCCCACTCACTCTAAACATCCACTTACAGCCTGAGGGTGTAGCCTCCAATAGGGACTCAGATCTTGAGGCTTCTGTAGCCCTCAGGATCAGAGTTCATTTCTTACCTGTGGGCAGCAGCTCTACCGCAAGCAACGGGTAAGCAATAAAGCTGCAACCAGACGTGGAACCACACTGCTTTTCACAGTGTGAAGGTATAACACATGCCACTTTATCTGCAAAGAGAGATTAAAGTCACACCAACATGTTGGCTTTAGAGTTCTAAAATTTGCGCTCAGGGAAAGGGAAGCAAATTAAAAATTGGATATGGATATTAGATTGTCTACTGGTGACTGCTTCAATTCATGATTCTGTGCACTCTTTAGGAGCTGGAAGTGAAGCATGGACTAGGAGTTAGGCAGGAAGGAATCACAGAAATCAGTGTTTCTACCAATTTACAGCTTTACTCAAAGCAAGCCCTATGACTCTGACAAATCTTTCAGTAACAGCAGCTAGGGTGTTAGGAAAGCAAGTGGATTACAGTAAGTCCTCACTTAAAGTTGTCGATAGGTTCTTGGAAACTGTACTTGGAGTGAAGTGACGTATAATGAAAGCAGGTCCTCAAATAACGTTGGCTATTTTTGCCCTCTCGTCAATGTTATAGTGAAACAGCAATGAATGAAATGTCATTATTTGAGCATCTGCTATATTTAGACACATATGAATCTGTGAGCAACTCATAACCTTACGCCCTTAACTCTGATAACGATGTTATTTTAGAGTATTTGGGAAGAAATTCTGACAGAGAATTAGAAGGAATGAATGTGATGCATAACTCAAGAACAAAAAATCTCTATATAATGAGTAATACTGACTGAGTGAAAAAACTGAGTCAACATAGACTAGAATGAGTTAGCAGGATACTGTCCAAGTTTATGCGTGGAGCAAGCCATTACACTGGTGACAGCCAACTAGCTCAAGAAGTTGTTACCACGCATCTAGAGAAAGAATGTCAAAGTCCAAAGGAGTAGTTGCAGTGAACGTCGTTTTCTTCATCCTCTCTCCTTCCCCACTGCTTTGTTAACAGGCCCTCAGTTTCACTTGCTTGGCTTGGGAGGGATTCAAGAGCCAGGCCTGCCTGTTTTGCCAACTAAGCCACAATGACTGTCCTATCACTTAGTTGAACTCACTAAGACTCATCTGGGATTGTTGCTGAAACTACTGGAAAAGGAAATATTCTCTCTGTGGGGGTGTTGCTGAGCTGGCAGAATAGAGGCCTGGTGCTGCTGGTGGCTATCTTGCCACCAGGTCGCCTGATGATGACACAAGCTCCTAAAAGTACACATTGTTTTCAACTCAAAGTCCAAACAATACAATGATCTACATAGAAAATCAGAGGTGGAGAATCATACCATGGCACTGTCTGGCCCCCTGCTCTGACCAGGAGAGAGATCCAGAATCTGGGACCAGAGCGTTTGCATTATCAGACAAGCATATTCTTCTAGAAAAACCAGAGCCTTTGCGTTTTCAGACAAGCATATTCTCCTAGAAACATGAGCAAGTACTGTGCTTCCATGATAAGTGTCTTTCTAGCATATGAAATGAACCTGTGATCTTGCTGTTTCTGAGGACTAGGCTCAAGGGGTGCCAGGCCCTTCTCCATCCCTTGGCCTCTTCACCGGGGCAGTCCATCAACTCTATTCACTTCTTGGCCAGAAGCTGGAGGGAGTTTAGTTTCCTGAGGTCTACTCTAGCTAGATGAAGGAACTATTTTCCATCTTTTTTACTCTCCTGTAGCAGTAATAACTCAAAATACATGATATTCTGCTTAAACTTCTTTCCCAGTGAGTGGGGTGCTTTGTGCTGTAAGTGGGATGGGGGGAGGGCAGGGCTGCAGACCCAGGGAATTTTGGGGACTTAGAGAGCACAGGGGGTTTATTTTCTAACCTATAAGGAAATACCAACTATGAGACCCCAAAAATGCCACTGGATAGCCAAAGACTAAATCTGGGAATACTGAAATCTAACTAGGAAATTCCTTTCTTTGAAAACTGGAAAGGAATTAAGATGAGAAAAGGAGACATATCCCAAGGCAAACTAAAGGGTGACTTGGGCTCTGAGATGCCCACTTGACAATAAAAAAGGGTTCTATTCTTGTCTGGCTTTGTCAAAGCGCTGCAGCAGCAGACACCCAAGGAAGCCGCCTGCTCTGACCCTGTGCTGCACCTGGCAGAGGAAGTGCTCCGTAACGGTGTACTGAATAAACAAATCTGTTGTGCGCAGAGACAGTAGAGCTAGTAAAACCAGGTTGAAATAGGGACGAGATACACCCACAGAATTGATAGTTCAGTAAAGGAAACAGGATGTTTTAATAGCATTTACTGGAAAAACATGGGCCTCAAAGTCAGACCACTTTCAAGGTTACCCCGAGTTCCCCTGATTTGCCTCATCTGTTCAATGAAGGTACAAAAGTCTGTTTCTGGGGTTGCCAAAGTAGTGACAGCATCTGTGAGGTCCCTGGCAGCCCCTTGCCCAAAAGCAGCTGCAGTGCCAGAGGAGAAACTCAACCTGTCTTTGGACTGTGCCTCAACTCTGTGGCAGAGACTGGGCCCAGACAGAGAAAGCATTGGTTGGCTTTTCCTGCCTCAACTTCTCTTTCTGGACTTCCTCTCTTGTCACCTACATCCAGTCTCTGAAAGACTTTTGTCCAGCTGCATCCCAAACCAAACCCATTAGGCCCTCCAAAAGCAATCTAAGGCACCTCACTGCCAATATTTTGTGGGAGACATAACCCCAAATACTTTCAAGATCACTGAGAGAGAAGTAGATTGGTGTGAGCACATCAGGATCAAGATTTTTACCTGGGTACAAGATACGGCTGATCATTCCTGGCATCACGAAAATGAACATGGGCAGAAGAGTCAGGTACCCACAAAAGATACAGCCTAATTTCACATGATATATGCCCTTTCCTGCCAGGCATCGTTGGACAGCTATCTGCCAAGGAAACAAAAGTGCATGAGGGGGTGATGGTTTTATCAGAGCAGATAAAGCCTGGGTGCCTCAGCACAGATAGGACAATCGTGACCTGCTGCAACAGGAGGATGTCCCCTCTGGGGGTTTTTGCTACACTGCTCCCCCAGTCATCCAGGCATCTCTGGGGTATCCAGGGTTAGAGGAGGCATGTGTGACCAATGAGCATGCTTCGTGCAGTGCACAGTTGCTGGAGGGGGCAGGGATGGAGTGTATGACCTTGGCCTCATTGCTAGCACTGAACACCAATCGTGGGTAGCACAGCAATTACATGCTGTAACTTGGCAAGGACAAGACTCCCTCCTAGAGGTCATGGACAGTCTCTGCAGGGCAGATCTAAGAGGGTCCTTGTGACAATCATTACAGCAAAGATGATGGTAATGAATGAGTGCTCAAAACTGGGACTGCCTTCATTTATCTGATGTAATTAGTATAGACCTTTAACATGCAAAACACCTCCCAGGAGATGTTTCACGACCCATTTCATAGTGTTATGGCTCTAAGAGGCAGTGTGCATTCAGGCCGAACAGAATGTTACAGCTGATAAGAGAAGCACTTAAAGACATAAAGACATGGTCCAGTGCATCAAAACAATGCAGAGTTGTATATGCACTAAAATTATAGATTTGTAGAACATTTAACTAATGTGGAAAAATGTTCACAATGTGACAGTAACTAAAGGCACAGGGTACATACATGTTAGGACTATGTCCCTACAAAAGTCTATAGGAAAAGAGCAACACAGTAATGGTAGTTAATTCTGGGTGGCTTAATAGGCAGGATTTTCATTTTCTGCCTTATTTTCCAAATGCATTATTTTAACAACAGGAGGAATAACACCCAAGTGCTCTTGTTTCATGCAACAGGTACTGCTTCTCAGGGGAACTGCTGCTATTCTGTTGGTGGTCTCTCAGGGTATGCAGGACTGTGCTGAGCAGGTGGGGGAGAGTCAGACTATATGTTCTGGTCTTGGCTCAGCTCTGTGCACAGGAGACAGTTTGGGGGAGGCGGTGAAGTGGCAGGGCAAGGGCACAAGCGTGATTTTCTTTGAGGAAAGGGTGATTGTCAGGACATTAAACATTTATAATTAGAAAGTTCTAAGCACTTTCATATACTGTCATATATCAGAAAGTGATGGGAGGATTATTGTTTAAAAATGATGGTGGGCCAAAGATTAACAATTTTCCTTCAATTAGTTAATTTGCCTTTTTGAAAACTATTTTTCTTAAATCATTTTTTTTTACTGGTTAAGAAGTAATATACTCTACTTCTATGCTTTTAGTAATTATCCTTAAAATTCTAACATGGATATAACTTCAAGTATAAAGTAAATCAATATCCTCATCTTCCTGAATATAAGGTCTACAGACATACTTCAAATTGTGATCCATTTTAGTTTTCTCCTGTTTTTAACTTCCTATAATCATAATTATTCACTTTTAGCCAATGCTTTAGATTTTCTCACCCACCTATCAGTATCTTTGCTACATATTCCTACTTGCTCTTTAGTACTTCCTTTTGCCTTATTTACACCTTTCAGTCTTTCTTTGAGGAAGTTTATGACTTTATTTTGCCCTTGGTTTTGAACGATAATGTTATCTAGGCATGTAATTTGAAGTTGACATTTACCTCAATACTTTGAAAATTTTGTTCTTCCACCGCTGGGATACACCATGGCTGCTGAGAAGTCTGTTGTGGGCATAACTGTCTTATTGTGTAAGTGATCTTTCCTCTCAGGTGACTTTAAAAATCTCATCATCAGTGCTCTGAACTTTCACTATGATTTTTAAATCAGTTCTGCTTAGGACTCACTGTAATTCCAGAATCTGGATTCTTGATCTTTCAAGAATTATAAAAATTATCACCTGCTGTCTCTCTTGAAGTATTGCTTTGCTCTCCTTTTCTTCTGAAACTCCTATGGTATGCATTTTGATTTTCATTCTATCGTCACTTTTTTTCACTTTCGCCATTTCCATGTTTGTGCTTTATGCATAATTTCATCGGTTTTCTCTTCCAAGAGTACTAATTTTCTCTCTTCAACCATGTTTTTTTATTTATATATATTTACATCATTATTCATTTTTGTACAATGTTTGATATCTCTGCTTAGGTGTAACCCCCATAAAATTCCCACCACCAAGACACCCTCGCACCGTCACCGTCTCTTTTGCTCTTCCCACTCCCTCCTTAACCATGTTTAATCTATTTAAAAGTTACTGAGTTTTACATTTCACTAAGTATATATTTCATTTCTCAAAGTTTGCATTTTCAAATTTGACTATCTTGTTTTGATAGAACTTTGTTAATGTTTCAGGTCCACTTTTATTTCCTTAAACACTTATTTTGCATTTAGTACCTAATTTTCTGAAGTTTGCTAGTACTAATTCTTCTATTTCTTGCTCATGGCGGCTTGATTCTTCAATGTTTTCTAATTTGGGGTTGGGAGCTCATGTTGAGTAGGAATTTACTTATGGAAATACAAAACTTTGGCTATAGGTGCATCAATTCTGAAGGAATTTGCCATTACTCCTGCCAGGTCAGATTGCAACAAATTCTGGATGAGTTACTATGGAGTTTTCCTGAATACAGAGGTAAATAAAAAACCCAAATGTACAAGAAGGCAGGCCTGATATTATGAAATTTCAGAGACTTTCTCCTTCCTTTTAGAACCCAGGCTGAGGCACTTTTTTTAAGCTGTTGTTTCTTTGGCTGATGGTAGATTCCGGCCCCGCCCCCCCCCCCCCCACCAAGTCTACCATTTTGATGTCATTACAGTCTTTCAAGAATCCAAGTTCTACATGGAGGGTTCATTCTTGACCACTCAGGAACTCAAGACCTTTTCCCTGTCCTTACATAGTCATTAAACCCAAGTCTTTGAAAACCAAGCTTGGTAAATGCTGTCAGGGACAGTCAGTGTCAATGTCAACTTAGCTCTCTTGATTTCAATTCTCTTTTTGTTTTTAGCGTCTGGAGATTTTCTTCCTTTCTTATGAGTGCCTCTATGACTACAATAAGATGTTTGTTATATTTCACCCAAAGTTCCTAGGTGTTCTGTATTGATTGCAGATAGTTCAGGAAATCCAGTTTACATATTGTCAGATGTGGAAGTCCAGGTAAACTCTTTTTTTTTTTAAGATTTATTTTTTTTTATTTATACAAGAGCTGAGGTACAGGCCAGATGTGCAGGAGGGTGAGAGGATTCACTAGAGACAGAGCGGGGAACAGAACAGAAAGAGTGATGAAACACACTGCTGAGGGGAGCAGAGGGCGAGACAGGAGAGGTCTGCTTGCCATGTGGGTTGCTCCGAGGCCAGGGGGATTGAACCAGCACTGCAGAGGCTTCACAGTGCTGCGCTCAGCCGCCTGGGCCACCAGGGAGGCCTTCCAGGTAAACTCTTAAAGTTATCATTATAGATGAAATTGAAAAGAAAAATGTAAGAAACAATTTCTTTTCTTCTAGGTTCAGTAGCATAAACACATAATAGAGGCTATAAAAATTAATAGCTATGTTACAGAGAATGCTTATGCATTGTGCTAGAAATCATCTTCCTGTTCTTCCACTCAATACATTTTAAAGAGTCATCGTTGTTGTTATGTGTACATCTAGTCAATTGCTTCAAATTGTTGCATCCTCAGTATCACCTCCCCATATTTCACCTGCCCACTCTATAGGAATCAACACTTAGTGGTAACACTAACATATGTCTCCTATATAGGCCCTGATGAATTTGCATGAACATCTATTTTTGGAGATTCTTAGCAACATTTCTAGGCCATAGAGTATACCAATACTTATTTTTATTAAATACTGCAAGGTTACTCTTCACCAATCTATACTTCCACAAGAGGTACATGAGGGTTCCAAAATGTCCCCATCTTCTCCTGTACTTGGCTTTATTAAGCTTTTCAGTTTTTGCCAGTTTCATTGTGGTTTTATTTTATTTATTTATTTATTTATTTATTTATTTATTTATTTATTTATTTATTTATGCAAGCACTGGGTACAGTCAGAAGCAAGGGAGGGTGAGAGAATTCACCAGAGCCAGAGCGGGGAGCAGAGCAGGCAGAAGGACGGAAGTACACTGCTGAGGGGAGCATCGGGTGGCAGGAGAGGTCTGCGCGCCATGTGGGACCCTCCTCTGGTGGCCGGGGAGCAGCCGGGGATCGAACCAGCGCTGCAGAGGCTGCGGGCAGCTTCGCAACCCAGCGCTCAACCGCTGCGCCACTGGGGAGGCCCTCATTGTGGTTTTAAATTGTACTTCCCTGATAGTACTGCATTATATTCTTGCTGGTATTTATGTTTGTTTCCACTTCCTTTTCTATAAATTGCCTGTCATTTTCTTCTGCCCACATTTCTATTGGAGCTCCTTTTCTTGTTGCTGTTTTGTTGCTGCTCATCATTACAAACAAGCAACACTGTCTGGAATCTTTGTTAACAAAGTCTGTATATGTAATGTGCAAATGCATATGTAATATGTAAACTGTATATGTAATATGTAAACTGATGCGATTTGGACTTCCCCCTTCTCAAAAATATGCTCTGACATTACCGTCCCTTAATGGTACAGTTTTACTCTTCATATTTAAGTCTTTAATCAGCTAATGTACACCTTTGCATAAGTGTTAGATAAAGTGAACTTTTGTTATGCCAAATAGTAAGGTGGTTTTTCTAACATCAGAGAGCTTGTGTCACCCCTGTTGGTTCGAGGAGACTCCAATCCATATTAAATTTTTATGAGTACAGAAGTCTGCCTCTGAGCTCTGTTCTGTTCCATTAGTCTGTAGGTGTACTCTTGGAAATTTCAAACTGTTTTGTTACTTCTATTTTGTGGGTTTTATGTTTGAACATCTGATAAGACAAGTTCTCTCCCTTTGCTTTCCATTTTCAAACTTGGGTTAACTAATGTGGTATTTTCTTTTCCACAGAATGTCTAAATCTCTTTTACTAGTGATATAACACAGAGAAGTACTTTACAGAAAGACAGTTGAAGCACATTACAGAGCATACTGCGTAACCACCATCCAAAGCAAGAGATGGAACACTGCAGCATCCCAGAAGTCTCCGACTTTTTTTTTTAAATCGAGGTGAAATTCACAAACCGTATAATTAACCATTTTACAGAGAACAATTCAGTAGTGTTTAGTGCATTCCCAATGTTGTGCAAGCACTGTCTCCCTCTCGTTTCAAAACTTTCCCACTATCCCAGAAGAACACCTAGCTCCATTAGCAATGAGTTTCCTTTCCTCCCCCCAGCCCCCGGGAAACCTGATAAATCCAGCCTAATCTGGATATTTTATATAAAAGGAATCATAATGCAGGTGACTTTTTATGTCTGGCTTCTTTCACTTAGCATAATGTTTCTGAGATTCATCCAAGTTGTAGCACTTTATTTATTTATTTTTAAATTCTTTGTAATTCTTTTTTTTTAAGATTGATTGATTGATTGATTGATTGATTTATACAAGCACTGGGTACAGTCAGAAGTGCGGGAGGGTGAGAGAATTCGCCAGAGCCAGAGCGGGAAGCAGAGCAGGCAGAAGGACCGAAGTACACTGCTGAGGGAAGCAGTGGGCGGCAGGAGAGGTCAGCGTGCCATGTGGGACCTTCCTCTGGTGGCCGGGGAGCAGCCGGGGATCGAACCAGCGCTGCAGAGGCTGCGGGCAGCTTCGCAACCCAGCGCTCAACCGCTGCGCCACCGGGGAGGCCCAGCACTTTATTTAAATAAAGTATCCACACTTTATTTCTTATTATGGCTAAATGATACTACAATGTATGGCTACACATTTTGTTTATTCATTCCCTCACTAGTGGACATCTGGGTTGTTTTCACCTTTTGGTGACTGTAAATACTGCTGCTACATGCTTCTTTTAAACTTCAATCTTTTCTCTTACTCCAGAAATGACTGCTTTTGTGACTATTTTATTTTTTCCTTGCTTCTCTTTATAATTTTTTTACCACTTAATTATGCACTCCTAAACAATATAACAGCAATGCGTGTTATCAAACTTTATGCAAATGTATCATGCAGTATCCAGCCTTCTGGTATAGCTTCCTTTATTTGCCATCATGCTTTGAATATTGACCCATGTTATTGTGGGCAGCTGTACTTCCTTTTTATTTCTATAGGACCTTTTTATCATATATTTTACAATATATTTAATGATCTACCATTAATAAAAAGCCATATAGTTTTTATAAATCTGAATCTTTAAAAAATTCAACTGACTCTTTAAAAAATTCAACTGACATACAGATTGGTTACATTTAATTTATACATAATTGGGGAGAATGGACATATTTTTCATGTCCAACAAACTATGCCTTGATATAATTATAGAAAAGATAAAAAATAAAGAAGTTAATGTGTCATAGATGGGACTGTGGGAGAAATATATTTTAAACATAATTTCTTTTTTTTTTTTATAGAGGCATGTTATTTATTTATTCATTTGTTTGTTTGTTTGTTTTTTGTTTATACATGCAATGGGGACAGTCAGAAGTGCGGGAGGGTGAGAGAATTCACCAGAGCCAGAGCGGGGAGCAGAGCAGGCAGAAGGACCAAAGTACACTGCTGAGGGGAGCAGCGGGCGGCAGGAGAGGTCTGCGTGCCATGTGGGACCCTCCTCCGGTGGCCGGGGAGCAGCCGAGGATCGAACCGGCACCGCAGAGGCCGCGGGCCGCTTCGCAACCCAGCGCTCAACCACTGTGCCACCGGGGAGGCCCCTAAACATAATTTCTTATAAACTTATCTAGGCAGCAAGTAAATATGGAAGGGAAAAATGACCACTGAAGCAGAAAGGCCACAGTTACCTACAGGTGCAGAGATGGTGGTGGAACCTGGAATGTATGAGCACTACTGAGCCACAGTGTAGTTACTTTTGCTTCAAGGTGTCTAATTACCTGACTGGCACACCAACGGTACAAGTTGAGGATAGAGACACCAAAGAGGAGTCCAGGCCAAGGTATGTCTCCAGTTATGGAATCTCGGAAGATATGATAAGAATCTACGCGTGGTATGTAGCATTTTGAGTTGGCAGTCCAGTTTCCTTCGCTGATATTTTGTGGTCTAGAGACGATGTATTTATCCTGTAGCTCTTCATATCCTCCCACATCCTCAAAGGCTTAAAAATACCATAATATTTATCAGTATCTTAAATTGCACAATAGCATATGTCTGAAGAACAAAGAATGCAGAGAAATGCCCAGTTTGACTGACTCTATTGGAAATATAAAGCACAGTGGACTGATAAAAAGTCAAAATCATATGTACTTAGAAAAAATAGCATCTCTTTCAAAGAGAAGGAAGAGTGGACATTAGTGGTTGTGGGACTTGCTTTTGAGAACAGAACCCTTTTCCCCAGTTATATTCTATCCTGTGTGGCTTAGTTAAGCCTTGTCAAAATGCCAACCATTCTAGTCATGTGCGTGACCCAAGTCTGGCCAATGTTCCTCACCCCCTGGGCAACAACTGATGTGTCAGGAGTGCAATGAGATCCAAGACAGGCTAATAAGAATTTGTTGCAGGATTATGCTTGAGGAACCAAAAAAAACCTGTTTCCTTCCTCTGGCATTCTAAACTACACAGGAATTTTAAGTTCTTTTGTCTACCCAGTTCATTCAGAACCCTGAATCTAGGCATACCTGAAGGTAATGCGCTCCTGGAATTTTTAATTATGTGAACCATATGAAAGTAGTTATTTGCTTATAGTAATTTGGAATTAAAGTTTCATTACAAGTTATCTAACAAATTCTGAATAAAAGAGAAATTTAATGTTTGTTTTTTTGCAATGCCAGCAAAACTTTTATAAAACTTTGTATTTGAAATTGCCTTTAGAGTTTATGGTATGACATTCTCCACCAATATATTAGGTAGACTAGTCTTAATGTTAAAGAAAAATATATTAAAAGACTTATTAAAACACCCATAATTCCACCTGCTTAACTGAAAAAAAAAACCCTTTATTTTGGCATATTAAACCATATTCCTTTGATGTAAATTGATTTTTGAAATAGATCAGAATAATTTGGAGTTAAGACTAGTCAGTGGAAAGATACTGAGCTGACAACAAAATGAATAAGAGACCTCATGGCACTTTTAAAAATGAATTCCATATGGGTTGAAAAGATGAAAGAGAAAACTGTAAAGTTATTAGAAGAAAATGGGAGATTATTAACTTGTGTCAGGGAGTATGTTCTTAAATAAGATGGAGAAGGGAAAAGGAAGGTTGGTAAATGTGACCTCAATATTTAAAATTTAAAATTTATATGATTGAAATCAAGTTAAAAATTCATCTAGGTTTCAAGGTAGAGGATTAAGTATGGGCATGGCATAAAGAGTGGTAGGAGCTTGTTAAAAATTCAGAGACCTGAGAATCATCTTTGTAACCTCTATTCAGGAAATTTCTAATGAAACTTAGAAAAAAGTGATCCAGGAAATAGGGGATCTTATAATACAACTCCAGAGTTGCTGCATGGAGAGTTTGCAAAGAATGATTTTAATTCCCTATAACAATTTGTTGGGAAAGACCAATACAATTGTCATTTTCTGCCATGGATATTTCTGGTTGTCTGAGAGGATCTTGTGACTTTGGTTGAAACTAGAGCATCTCTTGGACACTAGAAACCAACATTGACCATACACAAAAGAGGTGTTGAGGAAATTCAACTCTACACAACAAAAGGCTGTTGGAGATTGTGGCAAGAGGTGCCTGGAAACTGCTGCTCAAATCCATGCTCATGTGACAAGGTGATTGTGGGGAAGGTGGAGATGCTTAGTGTAATTTAATTATAGGGAGATACATGCAAAAGTGATGGGGTGAACCAGGTAGACAGAGACCCTAGTGAAAAAGACAAACTGCAAAAAGGAGTGATGCCCCCTTACTACTTCCCTTAGGGCCCCAGCTGATACAGTGAAACTGCAATTGAAAGTGCTGGTCTGAAAGCCCTGCCCACAAACTGCAGAGATGTGGGATCTGAAACTCAGAGAGGAGGGCTATTAGTGGTTCCACAGGCACGAACTGCTCCTATGCACACCACATTCTCTAGTGACTGACCTCCAGTCCCCTCCCCAACTTCAGAAAAGACATTTCCAGTTCTTCATGACATACAGTGCCATCTACTGGAAAAGTGGAACACATTGAACACTTAAGATATTTGAACATATAATTGAACCTAAAAAGCTAATAATGGGGATAAAGGAAAACAACAAATGGCAACATGAATCCTCAGGTCACTACTTGACACACAGAGAGAACAAATCTCCAGAAACCAAACTCAAAGACATGGAAGATCTTTCCTTCCTATCAGATTCGGAGTTCAAAATGGTCATGATAAAGAAATTGAAAGAAACAGAGGAAAAGAGAGCAAAGCTTATCAAAAATATGCAAGAAAACTCAGAAAAAAATTAGTATCTGAGAAATAAAATTAGTGAAGATTAAAACTGAAGCTTTAAGAAAATAATGGCAATGCAGGATATAAAAAGATCAGTAGAGGAGATAAAAATTCCAGAGGAAGCTATGGAAAGAGAATGAATAAATGGAAGATTGAAACAATGACCTGATTCAAAGATGATAATGCACAAAGTATCCAGGTGGAGAAAAAAGAAGTATGAAGGAGAAAAATGAACATTCTGAGACCTATCTGGTGCCATGAGGAAAGGTAATCTAAGAATAATGGGTATCCCAGAAGGGGAAGAGAAAGAGAGGGAACAGAGAACTTATTTAAAGAAATAATATAGAAAAACTTACCAAAACCTAGAGGACTAAATATACAAGTCCATGAGAGTTAAAGAAAACTTGGTTACCTAAATATAATGTGACCTACAACAAGACACATAGTAGTGAAACTTCCAAGTGTTACAGAACAAAGAAAGGATACTGAAACTGGCAAGAGTGAGGAAGCTAATAATATATTGATCAGTTTTACATCTGACTTCTCTGAGGAAACATTACAGGCAAAAAGAGAATGGAATGACAGGATCAAAGTACTTTAAGATCAAAACTGCCAGCCAAAAATATTTTATTCTGCAAGGTTCCCCTTCAGATAATAGGAAGAAATAAAAGCCTTCTCAGATAAACGGAAGCTGAAGGAGTTTGAAAACACTAAACCTCCCTTACAAGATAATGTTGAAAGTAGCTCTCATATCTAAATTGAAGAGAGGAACATTCTCAAATAATTGAACAAGGAAATAGAACCAGAAAACTAAGGACAAAATGGCAGTTGTAGAACTTTACATATCAGGAATAAATGAGGTAGAAATAAAAAAGACAGTCCAAAAGATTAATAAAGTCAAAAGCTGGTTCTTTGAAAAGATAAATAAAATCTCTGACTAGTCTCACAGGGAAAAAAGGGAGAAAACTCAAATATATATAATCAGAAATGAAAGAGAAGTTACTAGAGATATTTCAGAAATTCAGAGGATCATAAGAGATTACTATGAATATTTGTATGCTAATAAGTTGAATAACGTAGAAGAGATGGAAAAATTTCTAGAAATATACAACTATCTGAGACTGAATGAGAAAAAAATAGAAAATATGAACAGATCTATTAGAGACAAGGAAATTGAAACAGTAATCAAAAGTCTCCCAAATAAAAGTCCATGACCAAATGGCTTCAGTAATGCATCCATCAAACCTTCAAAGATGAGCTAATACATACCCTTCTCAAATTCTTCAAAAAAAATTGAAAAAGAGGGAATATTTCCAAATGTATTTTATGAGGCCAACATTACCCTGATACCAAAAACCAGACAAAGACACCACAAAAAATGAAAACTACAGACCAATTACCCTGATGAATAGAGATGTAAAAATCTTCAACAAGACAATAGCCAACTGATTTCAAAAGTGCATTAAGAGGATCAAATACCAAGTAGGATTTATTCCAGGGACACAGGATGGTTCAACACCCAAAACTCAATCAATGTAATCTACCACATCAATAAGAGGAATAATGTAAATCATATAAACATATCAATAGATGCCAAGAAAGTGTAAGATTCAACATCCATTTATGACAAAAACCATAAAAAATGGGATAGCTGGAATATACCTCAACATAATTAAGGTCACATTTGATAAACCCATAGCTAACATCATTTTCAATGGTGAAAAACTAGAAGCTTTTTTCATTAAGATCTGGTGCAAGATGACTATATCCACTTTCACCACCACTATTCAAGATAGTGTTGGAGTTAAAGCTGTAACAACTAGGCAAGAGATGGATATAATAGGAATTCAAATTAGGAAACCAGTAAGCTATAATTATTTGCAGATGACATGATAATCATGGAAAAATCTAAGGTACTAAGGTCCTGGTCGATGTAATAAGGCAAGGAAAAGAAACAAAAGGTAAAAATGTTCATAAAGGAAGAAAATAAAAAGATAACTTCTTAACCTTGGTGCTGGTTACCAGAATATCTTCACCTTGTGATTATTTCATCTAGCTAAACACTTCAACTTGTGCATTTTTCAATTAAAAAGCCTATTACAAATACAAAACAAAAAGATGCAGTGATTCTCTATTCACTGACACAGAACTTCCCTGTGACATAATACTAGCAGTGGAAAAACAGGTTGCAAAATTTTGCTTGCATTCTATTAAAAAAAAAAGCTCAGAGTTAAAAAAAACTTCATATATATGAAGAATATCTCTGGAAGGATACAGACAAAACATACAATACTGGTTGCCCCTGGAGAGTTGATCTGGGAAGCTAAAAATAGAAAATTTAAATGCATGAGTTTCCATGTTGACTAGTTTGAAGAACACCATTCATAGGGAGGTGCAAGTTCTTATTTTAAAAAGAAAAAAAAATTGTTCAATACTTTATCAAAGGAACTAACATGAATGCAATTAAAAATTCTACTATGTTTCTCAGAAAATATCTTAGTCTGCTCAGGCTGCTATTTACAAAATATCACAGATTGGAGAGCAACAAATATTTGCAGTTTTAGAGACTGGAGAGTACAAGATCTAGGTGATAGCTGACTGGGTATCTGGCGAGGGCTCCTTTCTTGTTCATAAATGGCCATTTTCTCACTGTGTCTTCACATGGTGGAGGTCTCTATGGTCTTTTTTAGAAAGGCATGAATGTCATTCAAATATGTTCTGCCCTCAAGACCTAATCAACTTCCAAAGGTTTTACTTCCTAAAGTCATCACACTGGATTTCAACATAAGAATTAGATCCTAACATTACATGGAACATTTCACCTACTACTGAAGTATAAATGGATGTCATTCTTAACTATTGTGGTGGGCTTGACAGGTTTTAAATATTGATGTTTAACACTAGCACACATTTCAACACAATTGTTTAGTGTGTTTTATAGTCTATAATTTTGTCACTCAAATTAGTCATTGACTCTCATGTTATTTAAAAAGTACCTGGATCATATTTGACATCTATTTTGTGTCTCAGCAACACAGAATTGAGTATATTCTAGGTGGACTAATGCTTAGTGAATGGTTAAGACTGAGGATTGTGTGATTCTGTTTGATTCTATGTGTTCCCATTCCATGTTCTATGGAACCATAATCCTTCAATTAAACTCACAGATAATTTCAATTATTTTTTAATACCTAAGCCAATGGCTTTTCTTCTAGATTTCTACAATATCAGTCTGACCCATGGAAGAGTGGTAACATCAATGTCCCTAAGGTCATACTCCCAGCTAATGGCAGGAAACTTCCATTTTAAGATAATGACACTTGCCATTAGGTACCGTTATGTGTTAATTCACATATTGGGCTTTGGTGTCAAGAGAGAGGCAGCTTTGAGATTTGCTCTTGGTGTCTCTTGAGTAAGTTACTTAACTGAGATTCAGCCTGCTTGTGTGGAAAATGGGGGTTACAATAGTAGCTTATGTCTCATGGTCATTGTGATAACTAAATGAGATAATATAGATAAATACCCTCTTGTACCTGATGCTCAATTCATACCAACTAATATTTTCATACTTAGTATACTTAATAAGTACCTACCATGTGCTTTAGCTGCATATTGTGTGAGACATACAATAGTTTTTATCCTTAAGAAGTTTTTGTCTTTATTTATATGACACAATGAACCACCAAGGAGCATATATATATATATATATATGTATAATATAAATCATATATTTATATATTAAAATATATATTTTATATATATAAAGCTTGTATAGCAGTGATGAGAGACCAGAGAAGAAAGGTGCGTAGATGGATAATCATGGGACTCCACCTTTGGGGTGGTTCATTTGCTGGTCTTCTCAGATTGATCTAATTGAGTGGAGAAGAGAGGCTCATAACTGGACAGGAAGAGCATGGCCTGGGGCATAGATACAGGCATACCTTGACCTCTGTTCCAAAGCACAAGATGTCAGTACCATTCCTATTCCTCTACTCCTCTTTCTTCTTAAATGAGCAGTTTCCTCCTTACCTTTTAGCATGACCTTAGACAACACTCCTGGATTCCTAAGGCCTCAGGCTCTTCATCTTCTAGATGAAGGTGCTGAAATGGCCCCAGGCAGCTCCAAGATTTAAAGATTCCCACCTATGGTGCCTAGCCCTCTGAAGATTTACTTACCAAAGGCCATTAACAAGATTGATCCCAGAAGCAGTATACCTGTATATATTGCATCAATAAAAACCACAGCTGTAAAACCACCTGAATAGGCAAAGAAAGAGAAACAAGAGCCACATTGGTTCTCTCTGCTGAGAGTTACTTTTGCATCCCTATTCTACGTACTTATTTCCTCCCAGAGTTCCACATTCACATCTTTTGTCCCTTTAATTCTGTGGGTCTTCTATAGAATCCTTCCTTGCCTCTTTCTGGTTTCTGGTAGTGCCATCAATCCTTGGCAACCCTTGTCTGACAGTTGCATTGCTCTAATATCTGCCTTTACCCTCACATGGTTTGCTCACTGTGTTTCTCTTCTTTTGAAATTATATCAGTAATATTGGATTAAGGGTCTTCCCTACTTCAGTATGAATTCATGCTAACTTATATCTTAATTATAGCCACAAAGATCCTATTTCCAAATAAGGTCATATTCACAGATAACATGTGGTAAGATTTCAAAATCTTTGTGGGGGATGAAATCATAACAGTCACCAATTTGTTCCTGAAAAATTTTGTTCCTTTACTTTGCAAATCCTATTAAAATATTTTAAAATGTTAAAAAATAATTCTGTGGGTCTTACAATTATTTATGCTTAGTCTGGGAATATCAGGCTTCTCTTTTATATTTTTCATGAGTCTTTTGTTAGATTCTTATCTTGGCCTCACATTCTCATTCCCTTTACTTTCAATTTTTTTGATGAATGAAAATCTAGTGTTTTCCCAAACTAAACAGTACGTCATTAATCATGAAAACTCAGTTTGGAAGCAATAGTCAGTAGCATCCTTGGTCTCTACCTGCTAGATACTGGTAGCACTCTGAGTTATGACAACGCATAATGTTTCTAGATATTACCAAATGTCTCCTGGGAAGAAAACCCCAACCCCTACTCCTTGTAGTGAGAATCCCTGACTAAAGAATCCTCACATGAATTCTTTCCACTCTGACTATGGTAAAATGCCTGGGAAACTCACCAGCATTCAGGATTTGCACTGTGTTGCATTGTGTTGTGAAGAGGCCCTACTTTCAAAAGCTAGACAGAGACTGTATGGGACAGAACTGTCCACATATTTTTTTCCTATTCAGTTTCGCATGATTGTATACTTCTAAGAATATGTCCTTTTTTAGATTATTGCATTTGTTAGTGTAAACATGTTCATAGTAGTCTCTCATTATCCTCTGAATTTCTGCAGCATTTATTGTGATTTCTCCTCTCACTTTTGATCCTATTTGAGATTTCTCCCATATTTCCTTAGAGAACCTTGTTAGAGGTTTGTCTTTTTTTTTTCTTCAAAGAACCTGCTTTTGGTTCCATTAATCTTTTGGACTATCTTTTAATTTTCTATTTAATTTACTTCTGCTTTGATTTTTATTATTCCTGTTCCACTGGGTTTGGGATTTTTTTGTTCTTTTTCTAATTACTTTACTCAAAAGAGGTTATTTGAGTTCTTTTTTATTTTTTGATGTGGGGCGCTATTGTTATATATTTCCCTCTTAGTGCTGTTCTTGCTGCCTCCCATAAGTTTTGGAAAGTTGTGTGCTCATTATCATTTATCTCAATGTATTTTTAAATTTCTTCTTTGATTTCTTCATTAATCCAGTAGTGTTGTTCAGTCTCTATGTATTAAAAGATTTCCTTGCTTTCTTTTTATAGTTGGTATCTAGTTTGATACCTTTGTGGTCCAAGAAGATGGTAGGTATGATTTCATTCTTTGTGAATTTGTTGACATTTGTTTTGTGTCCTGGAATGTGGTCTATTTGGAGACTGTTCCAAGTACACTTGCAAAAAAATGTGTATTCTGACTTTTGGGAGTGCAGTACTCTGTAAATGTCTAATAGGTCCATGTGGTCTAATTCTCCATTTAAGGCTATTGTATCCCTGCTTATTTTCTGTCTAGTCAATCTGTCCATTGGTGGGAGTGAGATGTTGAAGTCTCCTAGCACAAATGTGGTTTTTTTTCCAATGTCTGTTTTCAAAGTTGATAATAATTGCTTAATGTATTTTGATGCTCCTTCACTTGGTGAGTGTTATGGTTCTGGATGGATCGTTCTCTTTATCATTACATAGTGTCCCTCCCTGTCTCATTACCTTTTTAAAGTGGAAATCTATTTTGTCGGTATAAGTATGGCTGTTTCTGCCTTTTCTTGTGCCCCATTCACTAGTAGGATTGTTTTCCAGCCCTTTATTTTTAGCCTATGCTTGTCTTTGGAGTTTAGGTGTATCTCCTGGAGACAGCAGAAGGTTGGATCCTGTTTCTAATCCAACTAAGTACTCTGTGTCTTTTAACTGGTGAGTTCAGTCCATTTGCATTTAGAATGATCATTGATATGTAATAGTTATTGCTGCCATTTTATTCTTAATTTTTATGGTTTAATCTACAAATGAATTACAATCAAGGAAACTGAAAAAGTATTCAAAACTCTCCCAAAAGACAAAAGTCTAGCACTAGATGGCATCACAAGTGAATTCTACCAAACCTTCAAAGATGAGGGAAGGGCTAAGAACAAAGAGGGAAAGAAACATAGTGGACTATGCTGATGGAATATGGATGATTTGGTGATGGGTGCGCTACAGTGGCAATACCTGATGGGGGTATCCAAATATTACCTCAATTAAAAATAAATAAATAAAAAATAATAAAAAAAGAACTACCTACATAAAAAATGCCAACATAGGGCCTGACTAGGTAGTCTAAAGCTGCTGCTCTCCCTTCCCTCCACATCCCCACATTCCCTTTCTGTGCTTCTACTCTTTTGTCTCAGCAGCCTGAAGTATCAGGACCTGCTCCTCCCCCTACAAATTACTGACATTCCTGCTAGTTTCTTTGGAAAGTTCCTGCCAGCCTGATCTGATATCCAGGGGTAGGACACAAATTAGGCATCCCTGCCTCTGTTGTTTTCATTGTCCTGCCCCTCAGGCCTCAGCAATGTGATCTACAGATTAGGGAAAATGAAACAGCTGCAGACCCCTGCCTCAATGTCTACTAGGATTCTGTCATAATAATTAGAACTTTTCTGTCAACACCAACACCTGTATGGTTACAGTAATCTCACCTGTGATGGCATAAATGCCAGTAATTATCAGCAAGATTATGATAATCAGGTTAACATCCATCCCCCAAACAAGACTTATGGCCATGGTACCAATGAACAGCTCCACCTGAAATGAGTACAAAAGCAATAGGTTAAACTTCAACAGCAATCCCATAAAGACTCTGACTTAGAGCCATCTGCAAGAAAGACTATAGTAAGCACATCAATTCCATTACCAGTAGATACTGGGGAACATCTACCCCCAGTTCTGTTGGTCAACAAAGTTCATGTCCCAATGAGTTCAGTAAGGTTTAGAGTTCAGCAGCTTTAGGGCTTGGGTATGCCCAATTATTACAACATAGCCTCTTCCTCCCTGGAGCCTCAAAGTATGGAGTATGCTGAGAGTTCTAACTATTCCTGTAGTTCAGCCATTGGAAAAAATTAAAGAAGATAGCTTATTACAGGACAGCAAGCTTTTTTTTAAGCAAAGGACCAGATGTTAAATACTGTTTTGCCTTTTTTATAATCCTTTAAATATTTAAAATTTTAAAAGCTCAAGGATTGTACAAAGCATAACACTAGGTGGACTGGCCTGTGGGTTGGATTTGTTAATCTTTGGCTTACTTGACACTGATATTGAAGTATATACACATCATTTAAGCATATGCACGTAATTTAATTGACTTATTCTGCCAGGGATATAATGGGTAGAGATTCTCCCAGAATTCATCTATCCATCTATCCACCATATGCTTTCTAAGCACCAACCATGTAGTAGATAGTTGGCAGGGTTCAGAAGACACACAAAAAAGTCACTGTCTTCAAGTACTTATATTTAATAAAGGAGATATACCACTAAATAGGAATTTCCATACAATGTGATATGTGGCATTTATTTGGTGTCTTATGGGCTAAATATGTTTTTAGCACAGTAAGTAATGCAGTGACCAAGTTAGGTGAGGGCCTTGTTCTCAAGAAGCTTGCATTGAAGTGCAAAAAACTGGAGATAATAAACTGGGAAGCAAATATATGACTCTCAATGGTGACAAGAATGATACAAAGAAATTAAAACAGAGTAATAAAGGCAAGATTGAACACACCCATGGAAGGTCTCTCCAAGGAGGTGATATTTGAAAAGTCCTGGAAAGACTTTTGAAAAGTCCTGTGTCTAATATTAGACACAGTATAGAGTAAATGTCAAGGTCTTCAACTAGAATAGTCTTGCAGGATTCAAGAAACAGTAAGGCAGGCAGTGTAGCCAAAGCATGGTTAGCACAGGGGTGGAGACACAGACACCAGGCCAGAGAGTCACGGCTAGAACAGGACAGTCCTTCCAGGTGACAACAAGGGGTTAGATATTCTTGTAAGCATGGTGGAAACTCCTGGATTGTTTTTAAGCATTACTTAATATGTGACACAGGTAAGGCCAACGTTCTCTGGGAACACAGAAGGAGGTAAAGAGGATGCTTCTGCCTTTTCTTTTTCGTAAAGTATTCTTAAGCTATTTTTATTCCAGTGTAGAGGCCAACATGTAAAGTGAACTTCTGGAACAAATCTAGTATTTCCTATTGATTTTTATCTTTCTTCCCTAGGCTGTCTTTAACACAACTTACCAAGATATTATGGAAAATACAGACGAATAGGAACAGAACAGCAAGGAGGCACTGGATTCGGCGGCTACCAAACCTCATGCTCATATATTCTGGCATTGTCGCTACCTGTAAAAGCAACCAGACAAGTCACCATCAGACAGAGTGCCGAGAGGCAGACCCACTTTTGGGGACATATTTGATAATAGCAGATTAAAAGTCTTTGTGAAGTCATCTGGGTCTGTTCAGAGTCAGTTTTTATGCATTGCTTTTTTCATCCTGAGTGTGGGCAACTTTTACTTTCCCATTTCTATTTCTAGTAACTCTAGGTCAAAAACTTGCCATCTCAGATAATGTGATGGAACACTCTAGATCTCATTTGTTCTTCTGAAGATTGTTGTTTCTTGCTTAAGAAGGCAGTTCAGGGCCTCCCCTGGTGGCGCAGTAGTTGACCGCTGGGCTGCGGAGCTGCCTGCAGCCTCTGCAGTGCCAGTTAGATCCCTAGCCACCAGCGAGGGTCCCACAAGGCGCACAGACCTCTCCTGCCATGCCCGCTGCTCCTCTCAGCAGTGTATTTCATCAGTCTGCCTGTTCTGTTCCCACTCTGGTGAATTCTCTCACCCTCCAGCGCTTCTGACTGTACCCAGTGCTTGTATAAACAAACAAACAAACAAACAAACAAACAAATAAATCTTTAAAAAAAAAAAAAAAAGAAGGCAGTTCACCTGCCTGGGTCCTAACTGCAATGGCTTTCACACCATTATCACATCCCCACCCTGGCAGCTCCAGCGGCTGATGTTGCTGCTCATTTTTTCAGTTTCTGGTTGCTACAATTTAGCCTGGTCCTTAGGAGGTTTTCACTGCACCTCTGGCCTACACCCCAGCTCTAGTATGCATAAATAAATATATTTTTTAAAGATTTATTTGTTTATTTATACAAGTACTGGGTATAGTCAGAAGCGTGGGAGGGTGAGAGAATTCACCAGGGCCAGAGCGGGGAACAGAACAGGCAGACTGATGAAGTACACTGCTGAGGGGAGCAGCGGGTGCTGCAGGAGAGGTCTGCAGCGCCATGTGGGACCCTTGTCGGTGGCTGGGGATCGAACTGGCGCTGCAGAGGCTGAGGGCAGCTTCGCAGCCCAGCACTCAACGCTGCACCACCAGGGGAGGCCCAATAAATAAATCTTGGAAAAAAAATATATATATAAAAAATCCATTCAGCCACTCAGTGCCCTTTCATTGGAGAATTTCATTCATTTACATTTAAAGGAAACATTGACAGGTAAGAACTTATTAACACAATCTCACTAATTGTTTTCTGGCTGTTCTGTATTCTCTTGTTACTTTCTTCCCCCTTGCTGTCTTTCTTTTGTGAATTAATGATTTTCCGTAGTGGTATGCTCTGATTCCTTCTCTTTTATGGATGTTTTGATTTGTAGTTACAGTGGTGATTACATAAAGCATTTTACAGATATAACTATTTTAAACTGATAACTTTGATTACATACAAAAACTCTACCCTTCTACTCTGCTCCATCTTATGTTCTTGATGTCACAAATTACCTCTTTTTATATTGTTTTCATGAACTAGTTATTGTAGCAATAGTATTTTTTATATTTAGTCCTTTAACCTTTATATTAGAGTTGACTGATATACCACTCTACTGTGATATTATAGTATTCTGCTTTTAATGATACACTTAACTTTACCAGTGTGTTGTGTATCTTCATTTCAGCTTTAAAACTACTGTAAGTATTTCTTGAAAAGCAAGTTAAGTAGTGATTAACTGCCTCAGCTTTTATTATTGGTATTTTTTTCTTTTATGCTTTAAATATGTGATCTCACCTTTTCCTAGCCTGTGAGGCTTTTGATGAGAAATTCAAAGGGCATGCCTTTGTATGTGAATTTTTTTCCTTTCTTGATGTTTAAAATTTTTTTTACAATGTGTCCTGGAGGTGGTTTGGGGTTGAACTTTTGTGGGGGGACATATGAACTTCATGATATTGGATCTCCAAATCTCTATCCAGATTTGGGATAGAGTCATTATTTCAGTCATTGTTTCTTTAAATAAGTTTCTTTCCCTTTCTTATTTTTCTAGGACTCCAAAAAGACCTACATTGAGTCTCTTAATGTTTTTCTTATGACTCACATAGGCTTTCTTCACTCTTTTTCATTCTTTTTCCTTTGCCATCCTGACTGGATAATTTCAAATAACCTGTCTTCTAATTCATATTCTTTCTTTTACTTGATCCAGTATGCTATTGATAAGTTCTACTGTATTTTTCAATTTGTTCATTGTATTCTCCAGCCGCAGAATTTATTTGTAATTTTTATGATATCAACCTCTGTTAAACTTCTTGTTCTTTTCATGTGTTGTTTCCCATATTTTGTTGCATCTGTGTGAGTTGCATGTGAGTTTCCTTAAAACAGCTATTTTATTTATTTATTTTTATTAAATATTTTTATTTTCCTACATCTTTGTTAATTTTTGTACAGTATTTGATTTCTCTCCTCAGGTGTAGTCCCCATAAATCTCTTATAACCACATCACCCATGAACAGTCACCACAGTCCTTGTGCTATTAACTCCCCTGTTTTGATCCCCCTCTCTCCCCCTCCCCCTGTTGTATGCCTCAGATCTATATTTTGCTTGCAAGTTTTGATTCTTTTTTTTCCTTTGACACTTTGTTCAGTTTCTCTATATTCCCTCTATAAGTAAAACCATCCAATATTTTTCTTTTTCTTTCTGATGTATTTCACTGAGCATAATCTCTTCTAGCTCCATTCATGTTGCTATGAATGGCATGAGTTTTATTTTTTTTTTTGATTGCTGAGTAGCATTCCAGTGTGTGTGTGTGTGTGTGTGTGTGTGTGTGTGTATTACATCTTCTTGATCCATCATATATTTTGGGACACTTGGATTATTTCTGTATCTTAGCTACTGTAAATAGTGCTGTAATAAACATAGGAGTGCAGGTTTCCCTTCAAATTAATGTTTTTGAGTTCTTTGGGTAGGTTACTAGGAGTGGAATTGCTGGATCATATGGTAGATTCACTTCTAGTAATTTGAGTGTCCTCCACACAGCTTTCCATAGTGGTTGGACCATTTTGCATTCCCCCTAGCAGTGTAAGAGGGCTCCTTTTTCTTCACATCCTCACCAGCATTTGTTTGTTGCCAGTTTTTTTTTAATATGGGCCATTCTCACTAGTGTGAGGTGGTATCTCATTAAAGCAAATATTTTTAATTCTTTATCACACAAATTGCATATCTCCATTTATTTGGGCTTGGTTACTGGAAAATTATTGTGTATATTGTATTGTTTTGGTGGTATCATATTTCCTTGATTTTTCATGCTCCTCAAGTCTTTCATTGCTGTCTTTCCATTTGAGAAAGCAGTCATTTCCTCCATTTTTAACTGACTGGCATCAGGAAAGAAATACCTTCAGTAAGCCTGTTAGGGATCTGAGGCTTTCTCAGACTTTCTATAGATAGGTCTCCCCACACTTCTTGTTCCCTTTTGTAGGTGAATTCTTAAGATTGCATGTCTTCTTTCCATCCTGTGATGTCAGGTCAAGTGCTCACAGAGTTCTACTTGCTTGCTTTCCTTAGGGTGATGCTAAATGCTAATGTTTGTGAGTTTTCTTCCAAACCCAAGAGACAAGTTAACATTCTATATACATTCACTAGCTTTTTGCAAAGGCTCGTTCTTGCCACTGTTATGGGAATGTACGCACAATGTATTGCCAGAGAGAGGAGGTACATATGGATGAGGTGTGTGGAGTGCTTAGGTGCTCATGAGTCAGCTGGGGTGGGAGGCTTTGCAGGTGAGGTGTCTCCAGTGGCTCATTGGAAGGATCCTGGATCGAGTTTGATAGGCAGCTTATAGGATTCATGTACTTTTGATACTTTCTGAAATCCCGGCTGCTGTTATCTTAGCTGCTCCCTGTCTCCCAGCTGCACAGGACCACTCAGTATTCTGGATGGGGTGTCAAAAAATTGGGTTTCTTTCATAGTGTCCTGCATAGCTGGGAGAGTAGGATGCTCACTCACATGCCCTCAAATTCCCCTGTGGGTGATGTCTTACTGCTGAAAAGGCCTCCCTTGACACTACGCTTCTTTGGGTGATGCAGGTAAAATGAAACTGTTCCTTTTGCCCTTTTGAGTGTGACTGATCTTGAATTTTTTTTGGCTCCAATAGTATGCTTAAACTCCATTGCACTACCAGACTTCCACAAAAATAACTTGTGGGTGATGATCCAAACTGGTGTTGTTTGTGTGGAAGATGATAGAAAACTTTTATTCTGCTATGATATTGATGTCACTCCACAAATCCTCATGAATGTGTGCCCTGGGCAGTCCCTTCTTTGTTCTTCTCTCTCAGCCAGGCACGGGCATGTGCTTTCCCTTGCCTCCTATAGATATTTTAGAATCAGTTTGTCAAATTCCTCAAAAAGTCCTGTTTAAATTTTGTTTGGAATTGCATTCTATGCACAGAATAATTTGGGAAGAACTAAAAATTTTAGGAGATAGTTTTTTAATCATTAACATAGTTGTTCTCTTCATTTATTTAGGTCTTATTTTTAAATAAATTTTAAACTATCTTCTGAAAAAGTTAAGAGGTGAACTCTTAAGTGGTTAAGGTCCAGAGTGAAATAGTGGGTAGTTATTGGTGTCTGTTTGTAGAGGCAATATGATGTTACCTTGGCATTTCTCAGGATTTAGGGAACTCAGTAGAAGGATCAAAAGACTGAGAAGTTTAACTTGTCCTCCAGGATATTTTCAGTATATATGCAATACTTTTAAGAAGAAATATGGTAAGAATAGAGTAATTGATAATGAATACTCACCCCAGCCTTCATGTAAAAAGGAGAAAATACCCAACCAAGAATAAAGAGCATAAATGAAATCTGAAAACAAGAACAATAACAATTAGATCAGGGTCCCATTTAAATCAATCTCTTAAGTGAGATACAAGCTCAGTTATTACCTGTTTTGAGCCTAACAAATATGTCACTGTTGCGAACCTTACAAGTATACCTTACAGTACAACCAACTTAACTTATAGGTACTTGATCTTTACCTATAAAAAGGTGCACTCAATTGTGCCAATTTTCAAAGTGTTTATTTTTAAGTTGCATGCCTATTTCCAGAAAGGAATGAAGGTGGCTTATAGTTAAATATAAAAGATATTGAACAAAAAATAAGAAAAAAATTAGAAATCACTCAGAGAAAAGGGAGAGAAACTATACAAAAATTTCATGTTATTGAAACTAAATGATAAATTTGACTTTGGCTTTCTTTATAAAGAAGGGGTAAGGTAAGTTGAATATATGAAGGAGAAGCTAATAAACTAGGAGAGTAAATTGTGGTTAAAGCCAGGGCTTCTTATTAGGTTTGCAGTTGACACTGCTAGAAGAATTCTTTATTTGTATAGTCTACAGGAAGAAAAATTAGAATCAGAAAGTGAGGAACTTCCTGATTTATAAAAAAGTCAGAAGAGTTATATAAAAATAGGTTAATGAACCCAAGACTTATAAATTCACTTATAATTTTGAAGAACAAATTCTATGTCCTCTAACAAATCTATTCCACAGATTAAATAAAAAATCCATTTAGTAAGTTTGAATACATTTAAAATGTGGTATTCTTGGGAGACTGATTAGGAATTTTGTATTAATTAGTTGAGGATCTCAAAGAGGTCAACTTGTTATAGGACAGGGAGAGGGGCAGCCCAAGCCCCGCAAACCTGCCTATTCTAAATGGGTTCTGCCATCCGCCGCATCAACACAAAACATAGGAGACTTTAATGGGAAGGAACTTTAATTAAACTAGGAAACAATACAGGTAAGGCAAAGAGTCTAGTTTCTAAATGAAGCACCCAAAGTTACCCATCCCCTTGTGGGTAAAACTCCATCCATATGGGGTCGGCCCAGAGCAAGGCCCCAAAGCCTGCCACAAGTCTAAAGCATCTTCCAGTGGGGACCCACAGAAAAGGGTCACAAACAACTGGACAAGCCCGGAAGGAAAAGAGCAAAATCAACATCCAGATAAAAGCTGCCATGGTCACCTCCCCACGGGTCTCACCCACATCTGTGTCACCCAGTCCACGACCAAAAGACAAGCTCAGTTTCTTCACATGTCTCTAGGCTCCATGCGCCTCCTCCAGGTCTCCTGGCTCCATCCTGCTTCCTTCCTTCCTCAGTCTCTTCTTCAGCTTCTCCTCTTCCTGCTCAGCTCCACCCTCCCCTGGGTGGGGCAGGGAACCTGGAACTTCCCCCTTTCCTGGGGACCACCCTGTTACAAACTGAGTCTATTCTCAAAGTATATATATATTTATATAACAGATACAAATATATAAAAGCACACACATATATACACATGTTTATACACACATTTACACTTATTTATGTCTATATATACACGTAATACATACTCATGTATCTACACATAAATGTATATGCATGTACATTTAAATGTTAGTATAATCTTTTCCTTTTCTGGATATTTGCCTACTAGCTATTTGTTCACTGTTTTTCTATGGTCTCTGGAATATACTCTCTGTCTCTACATTAATTCATTCAAGAAGAATGAATTCAAGAACCTTCTGAGATATCAAAGACTTAGCTCCTTTCTTCAGTTACTTCTCAAGACTTTAATATTTACTCAAGGTTGAAAGCAAGTTTCTATGCTTATAAGTTTTATCTGGAGAATAATAAAGGTAGAGGTTGGTTGCTTCAAAAGGTATTACTTACATTCCACTCCGTGGCCCCAATAGCAAACCCTGAAGATGCTCCATTTCCAGCCAGGTTCATAATATTGACAGTGGTAAAATGGGTGGCAAAAAAAGATGCACCTACCTGAAAATCAAAAGATAACAACAATGAATTTTTTAGAGGTATCTTTAGGGTTTTCTATATATGCCATCATGTATGTTATCTGCAAACAATGGCAGGTTTACTTCTTCTTTCCCAATTTGAATTCCTTTTATATTCTTTTCCTTTCCATAGTTGTTCTAGCTACTGAGTGGGAGAAAATATTTGCATACCATACATCTGACAAGGGGCTGATATCCAAGATCAACAAAGAACTCATACAACTCAATAAAAACAAAACAAATAACCCAATCAGAAAGTAGTCAGAAGAGCTGAATAGACACTTCAAAGACATACAGAGAGCCAACAAATACATGAAAAAAATGCTTATTACCACTTATCATCAGGGAAATGCAAATCAAAACCACAATGAGATACCATTTTTCACCTGTGAGAATGGCTCATCTCAAAAAGACCTGAAAAACAAGTGTTGTTGAGTATGTAGAGAAAAAGTAATTCTTGTACACTGCTGGTGGGAATGTAGACTGGTTCAGCCCCTATGGAAAACAGAATGGAGGCCTCGCAAGGTATTAAAAATGCATCGACCATGTTATCCAGCAATTCCACCTGGAGGTACCTACCCAAAGAATAAAAAAACACTAATTTGGAGGGATACATGCACTCCATTGTTCATTGAAACCCTATTTACAATAGCCAAGCTATGGAAACAACCTAAGTGTCCCAAGACAGAGGAGTAGATTAGAAAAATACAGTACATATACACAATGGAATATTACTCAGCTATAAAAAGATAAACTCTTGATATCTGTGACAACATGAATGGAACTGGAGGAGATTGTGCTAAGTGAAATAAGTCAAAGGGAAAAAGACAAATACTGGATTGTGTCACTCATATATGGAATATAGAGAAACAAAACAAAGGGTCAGATAAAGCCATACCAATAACAGACTTTAGAAATCTAACTGTTGAAGTGAGGCTACAGAGGGGGAGGGGAGATAGCAAAGTAGGGAAGGAGGACAATGGATTATGGTGAGGACTTGGGGTGTCTTGGTAGTGGGTGTGTGTGGTAACAAACCTGAATTAGGGTCAACACTATATCCCTAAATCATATACAATGTTGTAAACCAATAGTACTTCAATAAAAATAGTAAAAAATGCCAAAATAAAAGGAAACAAAACAAATTACTACACATAAAAAACACAATTATATATCAGAACTCAGCCCTATTTCTAAGAATTTTCTCAAATTGAATTTTACATTTTTTCAAAAGGTAAATTTCCTAGACAGAATTCCAATTTGTGCTTCTTCTCCTTCTCCTTCTCCTTCTCCTTCTTATTATCTGTGATGAACTTTATTTTTTTAAATTTTTTTTTTATTTTTTACATCATTGTTCATTTTAAAACAATATTTGCTTCCCCCCACCCTCTCAGGTTGAGTCCCCATAGTTTCCTTCACCAGTGCACCAGTGCACCATCCCACAGTTCCCTATGCTCCTCCCTCCTCCTCTGATCCCTCTACTCCCTCCTCCCTTGCAGTATGTCTCTGTTTTATAATTTTCTGTTTTTGCTTTGTTGTGTTTTGTACTGTTGTTATTTTTTTACACTGTCTTATTTGGTTCTCCTATATTCCTACTATAAGTGAAATCATCCCATATTTTTCTTTTTCCTTCTGGCTTAGTTCACTGAGCATAATTCCTTCTAGCTCCATCCATGTTGCTGTGAATGGCATGAGTTTATCTTTTTTGATTGCTGAATAATATTCCATTGTGTATATATCCCACATCTTCTTGGTCCAGTCATCTATTTTTGGGCATTTTGGTTGTTTCCAGGTTTTACCTATTGTAAATAGGGGTAATGTTGCTAGAACCCTCTGCTGAAAAATAAACTAAGGTGGGAGACCCAGTGCAAACATTTCTTTGTCAAATACAATCTCTTCTTAAACCAAGATTACGAAAAAAGATTTAAGTATAATTCAGCATTTACACCAAGAAATGCTTTACCCCCAATCTGCCAGCTAACCCAGGCAAGACCATCTGTCAGGTCATTGGATCCAACAGAGTGACTGAATATGTTTTCCTCTTCCCTTTGAATAAAGGCACCTTCTCCTACATAGACAAGACTTCTCTCAGTGAAGCATTACCCCAATATGAAAAGCCAAGTTCTCGCCATCAGACTGGTTAATATTGGGAGAGTAAGAATACATTGGGGAATAGGGGCTTGCTTTTTACACAATTCTCTAAATGCACCTAAATGCAGGGGACATATATGCGTATTTTTACATAACAAGTTACAAAGCAGCCTGGGCTCAGGCTTGATTTGGGTGCTCAGACCTTGGACCTTGCTAGCTCCCCACATCTCCCTTCCCCCAGGGATGCTGTACCCTCACTCCATCATAGGGATAGGGCCCTGGAAGATCTCCTGCCTACCTTTCTGCAAGGTTTTGAGGCACTCCTCCTAGACAAATCACTTTATGTAATAAATAATTTAACATCCAAACAACAGAAAATGCTTTTAACCCCTCTATACTGCCTTTCTCCATCTAGCATCATGATGTCCCATCCATGCAGGTACACACTGTACCTCTGGGTACCCTTATAGTCTACCCAGCAAACACCTGCTCCATCTTCAAATCCTGCTCAAATCCCACCTATCAAACTTTCTGTTCTTTTCTGTGACATATTCTAGCTCACTGGATACATGCTTTAGCTCCTATTCTAGAGTGTGTGCTTCCAGAGGGCAGGGTTGTCTATTTCCTATCCATGTTTTGGAACCTAGAATGATGTCTTATGTATAACTAAACATTATTGAGTTAAACTAAGTTGAACACAAACATTTAGTTTCTTTTAAGAAACTACTTAAGAGCTAAGGGAAATATTTAACAAATGACATTCCCGATTTAGCCATTTCAAAATATTTTAGGTATATGATGTCTAAATAAAATTAATAAGCAAATTAACATGCAATACCCCAAGTGGACTGCTATATGCAAGGCTTACTCACCGACCACCAGGCAAGATTTCGGCCAGCAAGGAAAAAATCATCTATTGTTCCACGACTGTTTGTCAATATAGCCTTAAAAAAAAAGAAATAAAAACAATGGAATGCAAGAAACCAAATTGTTCAAAAGACACAGGTCTCTCAAACAAATGACCTTCACTTGTGGGAAAATCTCTTTTACAGAGATTGCCAAATCCATTCTTCCTGTCTTTCTCTTTAGGAATAGAAACCCCATCTCTCTGACTTAGAGGGTCTTTACCTCTAAGTCTCTTCTATCTGTGAGATTATGTGGGTCTTTCCATTTCTCTACACTATTGGGAAAATAATATTGCTTTCTTTTTTTCCACAAATAGTTAACCAGTACTGGAGTTCTGGCAGAGTCTGAAAGATAAGCTGTTTGTTTAGTGAGTGCCTGGATCAATTAGGAATGGCAAATCTGAGTATGTGCCTAGTTTCTTCCTGAGAGCACGCTGCCAGCACCATGGTGTCCTTTCACTTCACCCAGGTCCTTCCTATTGGGGTCCCAGCTCTGACTCCAGTCCCCTCTGCCCCGCCCTGCTGTACAGTCAAAGGACAATACTGGGTATTTCCTAGACTCTTAGGACCAGAAAGGAGGAGCTGGTTGACAGAAATGTGTTTCTTTAGGAAGAGTGAACACTCATTACCCCCCTCAGAGGGTCCTTTCATATCCCAAAACCTTAAACCAAAGAAGCAGTTTTCTTTTTTTTTTCTTTTTTTTTTTAAACCTTTTTTTTTTTATAGAGGCATGTTTTATTTATTTATTTATTTATTTATTTATTTATTTGTTTGTTTGTTTGTTTGTTTATACATGCACCAGGTACAGTCAGAAGCATGGGAGGGTGAGAGAATTCACCAGAGCCAGAGCGGGGAGCAGAGCAGGCAGAAGGACCGAAGTACACTGCTGAGGGGAGCAGGGGTCGGCAGGAGAGGTCTGCGCGCCATGTGGGACCCTCCTCTGGTGGCCGGGGAGCAGCTGGGGATCGAACTGGCGCAACCCAGCGCTCAACCGCTGCGCCACCGGGGAAGCCCCAAAGAAGTGTTATAGGACAGGGAGAGGGGCAGCCCAAACCCCGCAAACCTGCCTATTCTAAATGGGTTCTGCCATCCGCCGCATCAACACAAAACATATGACACTTTAATGGGAAGGAACTTTAATAAAAACTAGGAAACAATACAGGTAAGGCAGAGTCTAGTTTCTAAATGAAGCACTCAAAGTTACCCATCCCCTCGTGGGTAAAACTCCATCCATATGGGGTCGGCCCAGAGCAAGGCCCCAAAGCCTGCCACAAGTCTAAAACATCTTCCAGTGGGGACCCACAGAAAAGGGTCACAAACAACCGGACAAGCCCGGAAGGAAAAGAGCAAAATCAACATCCAGATAAAAGCTGCCATTGTCACCTCCTCACGGGTCTCACCCACATCTGTGTCACCTAGTCCACGACCAAAAGACAAGCGCAGTTTCTTCACGTGTCTCTAGGCTCCATGCGCCTCCTCCAGGTCTCCTTCTGGCTCCATCCTGCTTCCTTCCTCAGTCTCTTCTGCAGCTTCTCCTCTCCCTGCTCAGCTCCACCCTCCCTTGGGTGGGGCAGGGAACCTCCCCCTTTCCTGGGGACCACCCTGTTACAGAAGCAGTTTTCTAAACCAGATGCATTAAGTTAGTCTCATTTCATCCATTCACTAAATGTTTATCAAAGGCCTACTATGTGTAAAGCTCACCTGTCATAAGGAAAGTATCAGTGGTATGTAGGTCAAAGTGCATTAGAGCTTTCAAAAAGGGATTTTAAAAATGTTCTAAGATGAATAAAATCATCCTCCCATTCCATTACAGAAAGAGCCAGACAGGAAGAAGAGATCATGGGGGGAAGGTGGCTTCAGCCCCAGTCTCTGCCTCTTTCCCTCTGTTCTCTTTCTGGAATAATACAATCAGTCAGGTTTTTAAGGGAGAAGATGCATTCAACACTTTCTCAAAGATTTCTGGGCTGAGACAGATAGAAATGGGAATGAAAAAAAAAAAAGTGTACATCAACTCCCTCCCCCATGCTGTAAGAGCCAAATCACCAACAAGGAAGACAAAGCTTTGCCAGTTCCCTCTGGGCACTCAGCAGACAGTCACTATGAGCACTTTCAGAAAGAGCCTCATCTATGCAGATGTGGGCAATTTGGTTCTGTAAGAATAACAGTGTTTTGTGTAATAAATGTAAGAAAATAAAGCTTGACTCCTTTGCCACATCATGTATAAAAGGAAATTCGTGATGTTCTTGAGATTTGAATATTTAAAAAATTATAAAACATTGAAAGAAAATTTAGAATTATATTTGTACCACCTTGGAGCAGAGGGAAACGTTCCTAAGCCAGGAAATCAATAAGCTATAATGGAGAAGAGAGATAGTTGATTTCAAAGAGAAGAAAAACTCAAATGACAAAAAGACACCATTAGCAGAGTCTAGGCCAGTGTTTTTCAATCAGTGGTGATTTTTGCCCCAACTTTCCAGGGTCATTTTGCAATATTTATAGATATCTTTGGCTATGAATGGGTAAGGGCCAGGGAGACTCTCAAGCATACAATAATGTACAAGACAGACCTTCACAACACACAGCTATTTGGTCCCAAATGTCATTAGTGTTGAGATTGAGAAACACCGGTCTAGATTAATGATAGTTTGGGGAAAACATGAGCAATTAAAATGACAGACAAATTGATAAAGGAAAAGTCAAATAACCCAACTCAAAAATGGGCAAATAAACTGGCTATTCACAGAAGAAAGTCAATGGACAATAAACTCATGGAAAGATGCTCAACGTCACTAGGAGTCTAAACGTGTGAAGCAAAGCTTGCTTCAATGAGATACCACTATTCACCCAACAGCCTGACCAACAACAAACAAACAAACAAACAAATAAATAAAATGAGCAGTAACAATCAAGGCTGGTGAGGGCTTTGGGAAAAGAGAATGCTCATTTGCTATTTGTGAGAAATGTAAATCTCAACAAGCTTTGGGGATTGCCAGTTAGCAATAAAATTTCGCATGAATATATCCTTCTAGCATAGCAATTATAACTTTGGTAATTCATGCTACACAGGTTGAAAGCATCAACACATTAAACAACAACAACAACCTGGCAAAAATCTAAGTGTTGATAAGTAGGGAGGAGCTGAATAGTACACAGGTTTGTATGATTATTAGGCAGGTAATAAAAACATGAGCTAGATCTCTTATCTATTCACCTGCAGGACTCTCTACCACATAGTAAGTGAAAAAAAGCAAGCTGCAGGATATTGTACATGATATGATCACATTTTTTGTAAAGACAAAACAAAAATTCTACATGTGTGTCCCAGAGGAGGAGGGATCAAGAGGCCCTGGTTACTTTAGAGAGATGGGAATGGATGGCGGAAGAATAGTATCTAATCTTTAAATATTTATGCAACTTTTCACTTCTTGCAATGCAATGCTTTGATAAATTAAAACATGATGTTTTAAAAAAGAACCAGAGGAAAGATAACAACATAAAGAAAAAGAAGAGATCATTCTGGATAATCGTGCATGTTACGCCACTAGAAGAACAGAAGGCACAGCATGTTTCCTTTGGTGGCGACCAGATGGCTCACCAGCCCTCTGACCCTGGCCAGACAGCCCCGACTGGGCCCAGAAAGAAGCTTCAGCTTCCTAATTCAATAAGAGCACAGGTGGAAGGATCCCCCAACTAGTGCCCACTACTGGCAGCCCTGACATAGGTCACCCAGAAGGATGTTTTTCATAATTGAGGTAATTAAAAAAGTCATTTGAACGATCTGATAAATACCTCCAATTTCTCCTTTACAACACAATAAAGGGTTTATATTTTCTCCTCTAGTACAAAATTCTCTTAACAAGATGGAGATGATGTCTTCACTACTCTATCAGTCCGGGAGTGTTGGTCAACCGGCCATACTTTGAAGGGCCAGATTCTGACAGCAAGAACCTGTGTGTGACCTGTCAGGTCACAGGGCAAGGGAGCTTCAGCTAGCTGGCTGGGGCTCAAACAGAAAGAAAACTTTCCCACTGGTTTGCAAATTGTGGCATTTTCACCAGATACTCCTGCTTGGTGAAGCAGGTCAGAACCATCAGAGGCTTCTGATGGTTAACTGCTTTGCAGAGGGGCAATATCCTTATAGAGGCGGAAGCTTTCAAAACCATCCAACCTTTTACTGGAACTTGGGCGGGTTCCTCTGAGGAAGACTCTGGCACTGGGTAGTGTGGCCAACAGACACCTTTTTGAGAACTTCATACTAAGCTCTAGTGGGTCAATGGCAGCAAAGAAGACACAATCCTTACACTATGAAGAGAACCTTACACAGAAGAGAAACTTTACGCTTTTTATTCAAACTTAAAGGGAACACTTAGAACACGAAGTTATATGTGACCTTTGAGGTCTTGCTAGCAAGGCAAGTGGTTATGCTCTTGTGTCAGTTTAGGTAGCTCTAGGTTCAAATCTGAACTCCACCACTCCCTGGTTGCTCCTTAACTTTTTTGTACTTCAGCTTCCTCATCTGTCAAACTGAGAGAAATAACAGTATGTTATTCACAGCATGCTTGTGGGAGTGTGATGCACTAACTCAGTAGGGGCCTGGCATTTAAGCACCTGATCTCTGGTAGCTGTCATTACCACCAGCAGCATGATGATGTTTAATAATTACTGCTTAGGTTCCAACCAGCAGAGGGGGCTGACCTGTTTGTTTGAGGGGAAGGGTCTGGAAGCAAAGGGGAGGGGAGGTGGGGTGCAGGGGAACAGCCAGGTAAAGGGAGTGTGGAGAGGTCTGAGTGAAGGGCTATGCACAGGCAGGAGCTGGAATGAGAGAGTGCTCCAGGGCCAGGGTCAGGATGGGAGTGGCGAGCAAGTGACTGGCAGGGAGAAGATTAAATCCAGCCAGATGTCAAGGGTCTTTGCTTCTGGGCCCAGACTTACCAACATCCCGGTTCCCAGAACCAACATGAAGTAAAATACCGTCAGCAGGACGTCTAGGACACTATTGGTTACGTTATACCCAACAGTCAAGTTCCAGGGGTTGCTGTATTTGGGAAAGTCCATGGTGGTCCTTGGGGGCGGGTGGCGAGAGCGCGGTGCCAGAGGCCCCAACGGCTGTGGATCAGGCCTTGGCTCTGCAGCCACCCCGAAGCCTGCGGAGCCTCGCGGCAGCCTCGGAGTTCTTGGCCGCACAGCCGCTGAGCGCCTTGGGGTTCTCACCTGCCCCCAGGGCCCGCCTTCTCCGGACTGCTCCACTTAGCGAGAACGAACAGCCCCTCTTCACTCCTCCAGCGCTAGCTTTGTTGGCCACAATGGCTTTATTTTGAACTAAAAGTTGGTTGCCGGGTGGGGCTAAGGAGGTACACAATGTCTTTCAAAGCCACTGGCCCCCAGGGCAAAAGAAGAAACCGGTCATACTACTTGTGTCTTTATTTGTAATTTAAAAGTCCCTTTCAATGGCGATATTTTGATAATAGTTTTATTATATTAATAAATATGATATGAAATATTTATTATATTAATAATGCAATGTTTGAATTTTGAGTACAGAGTCTTTTGGCACCCCCTCAAATTTTGCACCTAGGAAACTGCCTCACTCTCTTCACTTTTAGACAAAGCCCTGACTGGACCAGCTGACCCAGAAGTTCCTCAGCTGTTGGCATTTTGATCTTGCACTCCTGATGGAGGCATTTGCAGTCAGGGCAAACATTACTTTCCTGGGGGGTGTTTTTCTGCTAACTTGTATATTTAAAGATTTTGGTCGAGAATACTATAGCAACAATAATCGTTAACTCTTGTTATGTCTAGCAGAACCCCTTTCTGTGCACTTGGCATGTTAACCTATTTGATTTCCACAATAACCAAATAGTCTGAGTCTATGACAGGGAGGCTTGTCTTTATAGCAGTCTGAGGTCTATGATCGCAGCCTCCTGAGCAGAACTCTGTTCTAGTTCAGTCCAGTACTGTCCAAAAGAAATAGTATGAGAATCACAGATGCTATTTTATTTTTTTCATGGTTACTGAGGTATGACTGAAAAGTGAAAATTGTATGTAGTTAGGGTCTAGGACATAATATTTTGATAAGTCTATATACTGTGAAATAATTCCCATAATCAAACTAATGAACATATTAGCCACCTCACATAATTACCATTTTGTGTATGAGTGTGGTCACAACCCTCAGATTTACTCTCAGCAAATTTCAAGTATACAATTTTATTAATGATAGCCATCATGTTGCACATTTGTTCTCTAGAACTTGGTATTATAATGGAAAGTTTGCACCCTTGGACCAACATCTCCCCTTTTTTTCTACCATATAACTTCTGGTAACTACCATGCTACTCAGTTACTGAATTTCACCTCTTTTTTTTTTTTTTAAGATTTCACATATAAAGGGGGATCAAGCAATATTCAATATTCAATCTGTGATGTTGTCTGAGACATCCTCATCTATGTTGTTGCAAATGACACGGTTTCCTTATTTTTAAATTCCATTTAATTAATTAATTAGTTTCACACTTTCTTTATACATTCATCTACCACTGACAACTGATTTATTTCAGCTTGGCTACTATGACGAATGCTAAAATGAACTTGGAGTGCAGGTATCTCTTTAAGATAATGATTTTATTTCCTTTGGCTATATGCCCAGAAGTAGAACTGCTGGATCATACCATGGCTGTGTTTTTAATGTATCCAGGGCCCTTCCCAATGTGTTTACTGTAGCAGGTATACCAATTTACATTTCAACCAATAGTATACCAGTGTTCCTTTTTCTCACATCCTCATTATACTTCTTTTCTTATGATGTTTTGATAATGGTCATCCTAGCAGGTGGGAAGTGATAGCTCATTGTGGTTTCGATTTGCATTTCTCTGATGTTTGGTGAATTTGAGTATCTTTTCATATACCTATTGGTTATTCGTATGACTTCTTCAGAAAACTGCTCACAGCCTTTGTCCAATTTTTAATCAGGTTATTGCTACTAGTATTATTTTTTGCTTTTGAGTTATATGAATTACATATATTTTGGATATTAATCCTATATCAGCTATATGGTTTGCAAATATTTTCTCCCATTGATTTTTCATTTTATTGATTGTTTGCCCTGTGTCACAGATATGATTTTAAGTTTTCCAGTAACTATATTAAAAATAAGTAAATATGAATATAAACAAAATATTTGCTTCAAGAAACTACATAAACTGCATAAAATATAAAAAATAAAGGAAAAAGGTAAAATTAATTTTAATTATATATTTTATTTAACCCACTATATCTAAAATGTCACTGGCATATGTGATAAATGTAAAAACTGTTGAGATTTTTAAAATTCTTTTTCACATTAAGTCTTTGAAGTTTTGTGTATATTTTACACTTAACAGCACATCTTCAATTCACTCATAAACTTGTCAGGAATTCATTTGTATTTAAATTTAGTAAATTTTATAGTTGATGAAGTCAACTTATATACCATGTTGTTCTAAACATACTTATAAGTTTTCTAGTACAGAATTAAGAACCAAAATTTCATTTTCCTTTAGCTCAGTGACAAATCTGACTGATTTTTTTTAAGAGATTGATTTCAGTTTAGAGCAAAATCATACCAGTTTTTAAAATCCTGTCTGTACAAGTTAGGTAAATTCACTAATTCTTGTTGTTAACTCTATCATTAACATCAAATTCAAAGAGACATTACATAAATTAAAAAGCATTTCTAAATTGATTCATAGCCCAAAGCATTTTTCAGATTTTTCTAGTATTTTTGCCATAGATTTACATAAATAACATAACTAATTACAATTTAAATCCTTGATACGTTGACTCATGTTAGGAGAATGTGTGAAACAGTTATTATTAATTCGTATTATGAAAATCAATATCAATATCAATATCATTTTGGATACTGGCCAGATAGGTTATGTTAGAAAAGAAGGAGGTCATGAGTATCAGACTGAAGCAGACTTTATTTAGCAAAGTCTTGGCTCCAGCACAGTGAGAGTCCGGTGAGTCCGGTGAGAGATTGGGGACACAATTGTAGGGTCGGGCTGCTTCCGGGATTTTTTGGAGCATGGGGTAGGGGTGGGGGGGTGGGTGGGGGACGGTGTGTGGGGTGTGGGGGGAATGGGGAGGTGTGGGGGGTTGGGGAGTGGGCTGCTGGAATTCTCCACTGCCATCAGCTTATCTCTGGTTTCTCAGCGCCTAGCCATGCAGGTTTACGATGCTCTTCAGGTTACAAATAAGTATTTCCTTTCCTTGACTCTTCCAATTTAGCTCATTCATGTACAGTACATATTAGAGAGAAATGTAAGTGCCATTTTTTCCTTACTTAATATTCAACAACCTTGCTTTTTGTTGCAAGAACATCTGGAATTGTAATTTATATTATAGTATTTCTTTGTAAAAGTTACCAAGATTCAACCAATGAGCACTGGCAGAAGCACATCATCAAATTCCATCATCAGATTCAGTTGCATAAAATGGTGATGATTCATATTATTTGCACATATATATTGAATGATTTTAACAACTGTAACCAGCCATGACACCGAATTTTAGGGCAAGAGAGAGCTCTTAGGGTCAGAATAAAAAAGTAAAAGCCTTGGAGGAAAAGGAAGTCTCCAGAGATTAGGGCAACAAATTCCAAAGGGAACTAATCAAACACTCCAGGACTAGGGACAACACGACATTGACATTCCATAACAAGGATGATAATGAAAAAGGATGTTAAGGGCTGGGCCACAGACTCTTAATTCTGGGCACAGAGACATTAAGGCAGGGTGAGTGAGACCACCGAGAACTAGCCAATCACAGAGAGACTGGTGGAGGTTTAGATTAGGGAAGAAAGGTTTATATTCCGTGAGGCATGACTCCCTTCATCTCCCTTGCCCCTCCACCTGCCTGGGAGTCCCACTTTCTTTCTGTTCCTTTTCTCCTTAATAAACCTTTTCTTTCTCTAAGCAAATTTGCCTCTTCTCGCTTGCTTGCCTGAACGTTAGCGAAGTTCCTGCTGCAGCTTCATGAGACACCTGGTACCCGTGGTGGCCTAGTGGCTGGGACTCAGCACTTCCACTGCAGCCTGGGATCCGTTCCTGGCTGGGAGACTAGGCCTGAAAACCTGAAACTACAGTATCAATACCTTTCATAGTTTGCTGCAAAGATTAAGCAAAAATGTTTTAATGTTATCACAGAGTGGAATATAACAATATAGGAAACATCAGCTCGTTTTCAAGTACCATTAAAACTGGGACTTTGACCTAATATAAGTGGAGCACTGTCAGGGATGATAAAAAGTATTTTTTAATATTTAACCAAAATTCTTCTTTGATAAATGGAAAAGCTTAAAAATATCAACCTACAAATTTGATATTTTAGGTCATGAATTGGTAACATTTCTTTATATGTTTGATGTCCTTAGAGACAAAATAGGTTCAAAATATTGAGTTTCACATCACAAGGCTCAACTAAATATTAAAAAATGTGTTTGGAAATATTTAAATTTTGAATCCATTCTTTTTTTGGGCATTGTTAGACAGGTCTTATATCCCATGGGAAATTGTTTTGAGGTTTAGTTGAAAATAGTTTTGCTTTTTATAAAATCCTGTTTTGAGGACATTTTTCAAAATTTTTAAATAAATTTTTATAACTGAGATAATTCTTTTGTCATCTTTTCATCTAAAATATTTTTCTTTTTAGAGCAAGAATTCAAGTTCTTTTAAAGCTTGCCAAAGCTATAAACTCAAATTCTGTTAAAAATCATGAAATTATTTTGGACATTTATTTCTACTTCAAGCAACTAAGAAAGTATAGTTCACTGTTGTTATTGAAAATTCATCTTAATACTGTTCACTTTATTATCTTTAGTAACTGCCTTCATATACTCGACCAATAGCTCTAACATAACATGATTAAAAAAGCCATGATTAAAAAAGCCATGAAATACATTTTTGTTTCCATAACCACTTCAGTTTCCTATTGATTATTGTTAACAAGGTATATCTTTTTCTATCCTTTGACATTCAGCCTTTTGTGTCTACATATTTCAAGTGAAATTTTTATGTCCAATGTCTGCTTGAATTTTGCTTTTTCATTTAATCAGATAATCTACTATTAAGGAGTGGGTCTGGATCATTTAA